GGGAACCCCTGGCGACACGTGCTTATTTATGTTTAACTTGATTACTGTTAAATAAAATTAAAAATTCAGTTCCTTGTTCACACTAGCCACATATCAAGCACTGAACAGCCACATGCAGCTGGTGGCTGCCATGTTGGAGAACACAGATATAGAACACTGCCATTGTCACAGAAAGTTGTATTGGACAGTGCTTCATTAAAACCAAAAAAAACCAAACCTGTTGCCATGGAGTTGATTCTGACTCATAGTGACCCTGTAGGACAGAGTAGAACTGCCCTCTAGGGTTTCCAGGGAGTAACTGGTGGATTCGAACTGCCAACCTTTTTGGTTAGAAGCTGAGCTCTTAATCACTGTGCTACCAGGGCTCCAACAAAAGTATTGTAAAGGAAGTAGATATGGCATGGATTTTTCTTTTGAAATTTATTTGTTTCACTAATATTCCAAAAAATTAAAACTCACAACCCCTTCACCTTATATTTTCCTGTGGCCCCTTTTGATCTTTAGCCACATGAAATCACAGTTTATACGTACGTGGTTACAATCACAGTGTTTATTCAGTTGTTTACTTTTTTTTGATTAATATTATTTTGCAAAGACTTTCCACTGAACTGATATATTTGCCATTTTGATGAAGGGGGATATGCTATGAAGCACCATAACTGGGTTAAGTGCTTCCTTACTCTCGGACACTTTAGTTGCTTCCTGTTTTTCAGTATTATGAATAGCACTGCCCTGAGCTTTTAGCACCTGGAGCCTTTTTCTTCTTTTGAATTGTTTCCTAACTATAAATTCTAGGAAGTGAGTTATTCAGTCCAAGGGTATAATCACTTTTATGACTTTTGTTATATATTGCCTAATTGCCATTAAAAAAAAATAGCTTGAATGCATTATAGCTTTGAATAGATATTATTGTGGTTGCTTGGCTCATGTGAACATGAAGTCGCGGAAAGGTCAAGGGATCAGCCCATAGTGTAGCTGCTTGCTGACAGGGTCAGGGCCTGTGTCCATGTTTCTCCACTCCTGGCCCCAGCTTTCTATTGGACTATTCCAAATATTCATAACATTGTTGCTATTAGTAATAATAATAAATCCAGTATTGGCAAGCCCAGTAAGTGTGTTACAATCTTAAGCATAAAGTTTGGGGCCAAGGGCATTTTTTAAAAATATATACTTTATGAAATGCAACTGTAAAGAAAGGAGTCTTCGGAGGTGTTGGTATTCAAGTGGGGGTGCCCTGTAGGCTTTACTCCAGTGAAGCTGTTCTCACAGCCACCCTGGAATTCACTTCAGGGCCCGTTTATGAGCCATCTCACACAATCTGCCTGGTATTTGAGCGTCATACCTTCTATTTGACCAAAAATGGTATTCCTGAGCTTGATGCCCCACCTGATTCACCACACTTGGATCCAGATGATGTTGGGTTCTTTTCAGAAGCCAAATCCTTCTCAAGTGGATGAAGGTCTGCCAGCTCTGAGGATTTTGAAAAGAATGGGCTTCAGGCTTTGAAGGCCATTCCCAAAGAAGACAGAACTGATTTGAAAAGTGGCCACCTTGCTGGCACAGGCCCATGACTTCCAAAGTGACCAGATCATGAGGGAAACTTGTGTGCATCCTGCACTTGTTTACCTAAAAGATCGTTTTTATTTTCCTTCAGCCACTCCTCCATGTTGGGAAAATGTTGCGAAGCAATGAAGCCGCAGAGTCTAGGTGGAGGAGAGTCTTCGGGACAGTCCCTTTAGCCCAACACCATTCTGTAGAGTAGGATGCAGGCCCATGTAATTTTACATTTTCTAGCAGCCACATTAAAAAAGTGAAAAGAAACAAGTGAAATTAATTTTAATGTATTTTATTTAACCCAGTATATTACTTTAACATGTAATCAACATGAAACTATTATTAATGAGATTTTTTTTTTTTTTAATTGTACTTTAGGTGAAGGTTTACAGAACAATAGTTTCTCATTAAACAGTCAGTACACGTATTGTTTTATGATATTGGTTAACAGCCTTACAACCTGTCAACACTCCCTTCTCGAACTTGGAGGACGTTTTTTTTTTTTGGGTGAAAATATACATAGCCAAAGATACACCATTTCAAAAATATCTACATGTACAATTCAGTGACATTGATGACAGTCTTCTAGTTGTGCTGCTATTCTCACTATCCTTTTCCAAATTATTCCATCACAATTGTCTTCAACTTACTGTCCCTTAGGCTTCCCATCAAACCTTTTGAGTTGCTGTTGTCAGTTTGATCTCACATAGATAATTCTTTTTTTTTTTTTTTGTACTTTAGATGAAGGTTTACAGAAGAAAATAGTTTCTCATTAAATAGTACACATATTGCCCTATGACAATGGTTAACAACCCTACAACATGCCAACACAGTCCTTATTCAACCTTGGGTTCCCTATCACCAGCTTTCCTGTCCCCTGCTGGCTTCTAGTCCTTGTACCTGGACTGTAGTGCCTCATTAGTCCCATTTTGTTTTATGGGACTGTCCAGTCCCCAGCTGAACGGTGAACCTCAGGAGTCACTTCACCACTGAGCTAAAAGGGTGTCTGGGGCCCTACTTTCGGGGTTTCTCCAGTCTCCTTTAGGCCAGTAAATCTGGCCTTTTTTTGTGTGGGTGTGTTAGAATTATGCTCTACATCCTTCTCCAGCTCCGTCCAGAACCCTCTGTTGTGATCCCGGTCAGAGCAGTCAATGGTGGTAGCCGGGCTCCATCTAGCTGTACTGGACTCAGTCCGGTGGAGGTCTTGGTAGCTGTGGTCGATTAGTCCTTTGGACTAATCTTTTCATTGTATCCTGTTCTCTTCATTCTCCCTTGCTCCCAAAGGGGTGAGACCAGTGGAATATCTTAGATGGCTACTAACAGGCTTTTAAGACCCCAGATGCTACTCACCAAGGTAGAATGTAGAACATTGTCTTTATAAACTGTGTTATGCCAGTTGAGCTAGATGTTCCCCGAGACCATGGTCCCCACAGCCCTCTGCCCAGCAATTCAGTCCCTCAGGGAGTTTGGATGTGTCTGTGGAGCTTCCATGACCTTTCCTTGTACAAGTTGTGCTGGTTTCCCCGGTATTGTGTACTGTCTTACCCTTCACCAAAGTTACCTATTGTCTATTTAGTATTCCCCCCGCCCCCGTAACCAACAAAGATTGTTGCTTTTCATGTGTAAACTTTTTCATGAGTTTTTACAATAGAGGTCTCATACAATATTTGTCCTTTTGTGATTGACTTGTTTCACTCAGCATAATGTCCTCTAGTTTCATCCATGTTATGAGATGCTTCACAGATTCATCATTGTTCTTTATCGTTGTATAATACTCTGTTGTGTGTGTGTATCATAGTTTGTTTATCCATTCATCTGTTGATGGGTATCTAGGTTGTTTCCAACTTTTTGCTATTGTGAACAGTGCTGCAATGTATTAATGAGATATTTTACATTCTTTTTTTTATACCAAGTCTTCAAAATTGAGTGTATATTTAACTTAACAGACATCCCAATTCAGACTAGCTGCATTTGAAGTGCTCAGCAACCTTACGTGTGACTGATGGCTACCACATTGGATAGTACAGATTTAGAAAATTGCATTGTGGCACAGACCTCTGAAATCACAAAGAGCTCTAGAGTCAGGTGGGTCTGATTCCAAGTAAGTCTGTGCCTTTCTTGTTGGGGTGGGCAGAAGGAAGCCATTGGTGAGTCCATGATAGACCAGAACCTGTTCATTCATACAAGGGGAGGAGGAAGACAGACAGACAGACTTGCAGGGAGGTGCCACTTGAGCTCAGCCTTGAAGTAGAATAAGGGGCTCGCTAAGTTCACAGAGTGGGAATGGGTGTTCTTGGCAGAGCGTGCAGCTCAGGCAGAGGCCCATTACTCTGGAGAACCACAGGCAGTTCTTTCAGCTCTACCAGGGTATTAGGAGTGGGGGGCCTTGGTGAAAGGAGAGTCTAGAGAGGTGGGTGAGGCTGGACCTTCCACCACCTGCCACCACCACGCCTCAGGTCCGCACCACCAGCATCTCTTGTCTGGTTTGCTGGCAGTAGCCTCCAATTCCTTCTATTTGCTCCCCCACCCCCATCCGTTTAAAATGTAAGTGAGATCATGTCGCTTTCTGCTTAGAACCCTCTGGTGGCTTTACATTTTACTCAAATCCGAAGTGTCAGGGTCCTGCAAGGTCTGGCCCTGCCCCTTTACCTCTCTGATCTTACCTCCCTCTGCACTCCCTTCTGGTCGTTCCTCTCTGGCCATACTGGTCTCATTCGCCTGCACTGGGGCCTTTATATTTGCTTTTCTCTCTACGGGAATATACTTCCATCAGGTATTCAGAAGGCTTACTCTCTCACTTCTCTGCCACTTCATTTCCATCTTTGTTCTTCAGAGAGGCCCTTCTTGCCATCCTCAAAATAGTGCCCTTTATAGATTTTTTTCAAAACAGTCTTCACCACCTCGCATACAGCTTCTCGATTTGTTCATTGTCTGCCTCCCTCACGAGAATGTAGGCTCCAAGAGAGCAGGGTTTGGTCTGTTTTGCTTACTCTTGCTCCCGTAGGGCTTGATGTTCAGTAAATATTTGTTGAGTGAATGACTGGATGAGTAAATGAATGAACAAGCAATATGTGAAACATAGCAGGCCTTCAGTAAATGCATGTTGATTTGAAATTTTTATTGAAGTATTTCCTTTTGCATTTATTTATTTATCCTAATTTTATATTTAAAAAATTTCAGCCATAAAAAAATGCTGAAAGAACGGGATAATGGCCATCCATATATTCTCTACTTACATTCAGCAATTGTTAACATTTTGCCACAATGGCTTTATGTATTCTTGCATGTATGTACATTTGTTTGTAGATACTGAGCCAATTGAAAGTCAGTTTGCAGAAACATGACACTTACCTCCTGATTTTAAAACATATTCGACAGCTATAGTAATCAAAACAGCCTGGTACTGGTATAACAAAAGATACATAGACCAATGGAATAGAATTGAGATTCCAGAAATAAACCCACACATCTCTGGTTAACTGATTTTTGACAAGGGTGCTAAGTCCATTCAATGGGAAAGAAACATGACACTTACCCTTTGCATTTAGAGGTTGGCTCTGGAGAGTGTTGAGTCAGGAGACCTCAGGCAGCGGCGGTTTGTGCCATGGCCTCTGACCTGGACTTCTCACCTCCCGAGGTGCCTGAGCCCACGTTCCTGGAGAACCTGCTGCGGTACGGACTCTTCCTGGGGGCCATCTTCCAGCTCATCTGCGTGTTGGCCATCATTGTACCTGTTCCCAAGTCCTACGAGGCGGTGAGTCCTTCCCTGTGAGCCTCAGCTTCCTGGGTGCTAGGCTGGGTACTAGGTACTGATAGTAGATACTGCAGCAGCCAAGATCCGCAGGGACTGTGCTGGGCTTTGTTGATTTAGTGTTCCCCAAAATTTCCACTTGGTGAGATTTGAACCCTGTAAGTGATACTTTGTTTGCGCATCTGATAAGCAGATTTTTTAGTGCCTACTTGGTGTCGGTCTTCTGAAAGATGTGGTGTCTGCCCTCAAGGACCTTCTATTCTTTTAGGGCAGGCAGATATTAAATAACTCCTCACATGTGCTTCCGTGAGAAGTGCAAAGTACTGTGGGGATGTTCTGTGAGGGTGTATATTAAAGGGGAGGACCTGACCTTATCCTGGGGCAGAGGCTGGGCTGTTCTCCCAAGGAGACAGTGTTTGAGCAGAGACAAGGGATAAGAAGACTTTGCCAGGTGAAGTGGGGAAGGGGCAGGGCAGCGTTCCAGGAAGAGGGAACTGCATGTGCAAGGAACTGGAGGAATAAAGGAACAGGCTAGTTCAAGGAACTGAGTGAAGGTGACTAGTCGGAGCACAGAGAGGGAGAAGAGGACATGGTGAGAGGCACAGCCCAGAATGGCAGGGCCCAGGAGGGTTTTAAGTAAAAGTGGCATGATCAGATGGGCTTTTTTGTTCTTTTGTTTCATAAGTCTCTTTTATTCTCTAACTACACCCCCCCCCCCCACTTTTCTCATGACATTGATTTGTTGGAAAAAGCAGATCATTTGTCCTGTACAATATTGACATCCAGAATTTGGCTGATGGTTTCCTTGTGGTGTCATTTAACATGTTTCTCTGTTCCCCATACTTCTGATTAATTGGAAGTTAGATTTGGAGGCTTGATTCAATTCAGATCAGGTTATTTGATTAGAATAACTTCTAGCTGGTGCTGTGTATTTCCTATTGTATGTCACCTCTGATAATGACTTGTGACAACACGTGTGAAATATTGTCTACAGGGAAGCTCATTAGAGACTCAGTAGCCAGGGTTTTTATTGGGGGCTGGTTATGTAGGCACCCTCTGCCTCGTACATACCAAAATTCCAAACTTCCAGAAGGAAAGTAGGTGTTCAGCATAAACCATATTGTTTGCACAGTTTAGGCACAGTGAATTCCTCTTATCAGTTCTGAAAATGATAGGAACCCTACTGAAATCCAGGTTCCCAGATGCCAGCCAAGGGCCAACCTTGCAAATGGGCTTTTCTGAGGATAGCAGTCTCTCTGTGTTAATTCTTTTCTGCACACCTGCAATATACACAATAGTTTAATAACTATATATTTTTTCCTACTAACGAAGACTCAGAATGAAATTTAAGATTTGTTTGTGGTTCTTTTTTGGCCGTAGACTTTGTCCTAGGAGGGATTTACAGTCCAACTACAGTGTTTAGTAATCCTTTTCTTTGACATGCCATTAGGTTCATTTGTTTTTAATTTTTAGGAATTTTTTTCTTTTAACTTAATTTTGTTTTTTAATTATATAAAATATTTATATACAACATTTCTCAAAGTCAAAGCTATGTAATAAGATACATTCATGGATATTTTCTTTAATTTCAGTATCCTCCACTATATTCCTTCCCTCCCCCATAGATTATCATTTTTATTATTTTGATTTATCCACCCTTTGTTTCTATTTGAAAATATAAGCATATACATATATGTATATATGTGTGTATTTATCTATTCATATTTCCCCCTTTGGTACACAAAAGATAGCCTACCATTAATAGCAAACTATGAGTTTCACATTTTTCTTTTTTCACTCAACAATATGCAGTATTTCCTGGAGATCATTATGTTCCTGGAGATTCTGCTTTTGCAGCTGGGAGGGCGATGGGGCATTTACTGATTCGCTGAGGAACCCTGGTGAAGGAGCAGGCTTGGAGGTAGGGATAAGGAAGGAGCAAGGAACATGCCAAGCTCAATTTTAAACAGGAGCCTTTGAGACGTCCAGATGGTTCTGTCAAGTAGGCAGTTGGACTTCCAGGTCTGTAGCAGGAGGAGAGGTCTGGGCTGAGTGTTGAGCAACATTTGGGAGTTGATAATGTGTGATTGAAGCCATTGGTAGGGATGAGGTCACGTAAGGAGAGAATGTGGAAGAAGATGAGAAGAGGAGCTAGGATGGAGGCTTGAGGAGCTCCCAGATTTAGAAATGGGACAGGTAGGGGAGAAAGAGCTGCCAGCGAGGGAGGGGAAAGGCTCATGCCTCTAGGTTGTTCTGTTCATTTCCTTTTCTTATTCTAGTATTTTGAGAAGGAGGTCACGATTGGAGATTTTCTACCCACAATTATGTCACACTTTAAAAATGTAATCCCTGTGTTCTTGGGCTCCGTCCTCACAGACATGGCATGCTGTTGGGTATTATAAATAACAAACATTTTTTTATTGTCATTGGCCACTGATGAAGCCGGCTAGGAGTCCCTGGCGGGGGAGGTGATAAATGTTCTTGTTTTACAGGCAGAGATGTGGAGTCAGAGGTGTGTGGCCTTTTGGAGAGCTGGGAAGCTGCTCTCCCTGCATTGTGTTCTTAACCCTTTGAGGTGAGCTGCCGAGGACTGGGTCATTTCAACAAACTTTCAGGCAAAGGGTGCCCTTTATCTCTGTGAGGTTTTTAGTGGTGCAAGTGGGTCGAGGTTTATTGAGGCAGGGGGTTGACGAGGGGCTCAGAAATATGCCACACACACACACACACACACACCAACTCTGCCATTTAGAGGTTAATTTGGGACAACAAGCTCATCTTTTAAAATATAAATATAGACCATAACACCTCATTTTCATTTTATCTTGCAGTTTAGGGGAATAAGGCTCACACAAGTGAATTGTCCTCATAACTGAAGCTTACTGTTTTAGCTTTTTATTTTTAGGCTTTCAATGGATCAGTAGCAAAAATATGTAGTACCATTAATTTAAATTTTTATTGGTGCTTCAGGCCAGCAAATGGTCCCCAGTTACATAGGGATTCTCCTGCCAGCTTTCTTCTGTGTGTCCCTGTAAGGCAACCTTCTCTTGCTCCTAAATTCCTAAATAAGTGGAAAGGAGACACTGTATTCTGTGCATGAACAAGATTCCAAAGAAAGAGTGTTGAGACTGCTCCTTGGAGGATGTGCCTAACAGGTAGCTGGGATTTGGAATTGGGATGGGTATGGGGGAAAGGAGGGGAACTTGGGGAAAGGGTGCTCTTAGGGAAGAAAGGAGCCTGGGGAGTGGGTGCAGTTTGTGGGGGCCCCAGGTAGCAGCAGCAGTAGGGAGGCACCTGGAAGTGGTGGAGGGCAGGAGTTGGGAGAGGGTCAGAGGTGGGGGTTAGGAGGACCCGGAGAACAAGCTTGCTGTCTTTGCCATTTTGCTTAGGGCAACATTGTCCCTCTCGCCTGGCCTATAGGAACAAGGTTTATTAGTGGCTTTTTGGGTCAGAACATAATATTTTTGGCTCCAGATGATGGGAAAGCCTTTGAAAAGCAAAAGAATGTCTTTCCTGTTGTTCCAGTAAACCGATTTTTTTGCAACTAGTTTATGACTTCAGTACTTCAATACTTAGTAGATTATTTGGAAGCTGTTTTGGAAGTAATCAGGGAAGAAAAAAAAATACAAATTCTTACCACTCTGTGCCCTTCCTTTTCATATTAAGAGCAAGAACCAATTCGTAAAATCAAAACAAAAGTCCCTAGAATCTTAATCCAAATAAGAATGTTTTCTCATTGACACCTCATTAAACTAAGGCCCAAGAAAACAAACATTTGAGCCTGATTGAGGCCTGGGCCACAGTTAATCCAAGCTTTTTCTGGTAGGCTGAATTCGAAAATAAGATAGTAGATCCTCACAGACACTAGTTCTGTCTAGTCTAGAATGGCAGATACGTTTTGTCTCTCACGCCAAGTCTAATTATGGTGGCAGTGGTGAAAAGGATTCTGGAGCTGCTTTGAGGTTTCAGAGGAAAGCAGTTGATCAGTGATTAGTCAGTATGTCCTACCACTGTCTAGCCATGAGCAAGGGGCTAGAGAGTGGTAGGACATATTGCATCCTTGGGCTGGTCCATGATTCTCTACCTGGCTGCACATTAGAGCCACGTGGGGAGCTTTCAGGGGCTTGGGTTGCACCCCCAGAGATTTGATTCAGTTGTTCTCGATCAGCAGTTTTTAAAGTGCCCGGGTGATTCTGATATGCAACCACTGGTCTAATCCTTAGTCCGTTTCCCTGAAGCAGAAACCAGTTTTGGGAAGATGGGAGGTGTTAGGTTCTAGATGTGTTAAGTTTTGAGATGATAGCAAGACATCCAAGTGGAAAAGGAAGAGCCAGCAAGAAGTCGAGTCTAGAAAGAGACCTGGAAATTATCTACATAGCATTGTTACTTGAAAGAATGAGTTGCTGAGATTTCAGGGGAAATTAAAGTTTAGGAAAGACCTGAACTTGAAGTAGTTTATGCGCAAAAAGATGCACATACGCTGCAAAGATGCAGGTGCTGCCTCAGAACCCATGAACAGGGGTGCAGCTGGGCCTCTGGAAGGGGCAGGAACTGGGGAGCCCATTGCTCATCATCTGCATCCCCTGGGCCATGCTTCCATGGCCCTCTCTGCCTTTCACTTCCCCCACCAGGGCCCTGCCCCCTCTGCCTGCTGTCCCTGTGGTGAGATGCAGCATGACCACTGATGGCTCCCAGCTTCCCAGAGAGATAGGCTGACTTCTTGCTTGGTCTCAGTTCCAAAATCCCCAGCTTCGGACAGCCGTGGCCAGTAGGTAGGGGAGGGCGAGTTCAGTTCCCAGAAGAGCTGGAGCGGGTCTCCATTAGACTGGCTCTCTCAGGAGACAGGGCAGAGCAGTGGGAAGAGGACCAGGAGAGTGCGGCCTCCCTGAAAATCGCTGAGGGTTTCAGGGAGGGCACATGTGAAACCCAGTCCCCACAGAGACTGGGTGATGAGAACGATCAAGAAAAGTCCGCTGTGTTTGACTGTGCCGTGTCTAGGCTGCTGT